CCCCCCCCCCCCCCTCCCTGTCCTACTTGCTCATAAACGTAATTAATCTCGTCTTTCGTCGATTGTACTCGTACATACTTTGGGCTCGTTGTCGTTCAGGAAGCATCCAGTGCGAAGGCGGAAGGGGAAGCTCCCAAGTCCGGCAACAGCATGGACGCCGATACCACACCACAGGAGGCGGCACCACCGGCAGATGGCGTGCCTCCCTCCAAGACTACCGCCGCTACAGCGGAGCCGGAGACGCCTACTCCCATGGAAACCGACGAAGTGGAACAACTGGAGTAAAAAAACAAAACAAAAATTGTGCCTTTCTTTTTGCTGGGGTGAAGTGGTTTTTGAAGGCGGGGAAGAGGAGAGCAAAATGTGTGCTGTGTTTTGGGAAAAAAATACTGGAGGGATGGAAGCAAGCAGGCAGTACGCATTTGGCTGGATTGACGGAGTGAGACTGGGAGGGAGCATCCACGAGTGTACTTGTTTTTTCATGTCATCTTTGCTTTTTTCTTTTCGCTTTTATTCTATCGATATTCTACCTCGAGTGAAGCAATTTCTTCGTCGACTTTTGTGTCGCTCGGGTGGGAAGTTAGGGCGAGGTCCTTAGCAAGACCGGGGAGGGGTGGGGACGGGGGGCCCCTTGAGGTCTTGCCATTCTCGAGGCTCCCTTCGTGTTTGCCAGTGGACAAAACCGTGGACGGAAAGCATCCATCGGCACCAAACAAGCTGCTGGCGTTGGTCTTGACGCTCTCCGTGTGGGTTGGTCCTTCTGGGAAGCTTTCTTGTGCCGCCTGTTTGTGTCGTTGGCCGCCGCCGCCGCCGCTGCCCGCAGCTTCTTGTCTCGTCGGCAATTGGGCTCGCCCCCCGCGTGCCCACCGGGTCTGTAGGGATGATGCGAGGCCAATGGTCTAGAGACTAAGGCATGTCCAACTGTCGAGGACACCTTCCCGCCTTTCTGTCTGGTAGTACGCACTTCGACTTCCCGCGGCCTCAGCGGATTTGTTTTTTGTAGCCCGGCGGGCGCACGAGGTGGAATTGGAATGGACGGGAGAAGGTGTTCCGAGGATACTTGCTCATCGGCGAATGCCCGATGGGATGGGATGGGGGGGGGTGGAAGGAGTTGCTACCTGTCGAGTTAAGTCGACGGAGAGGGAATTCTGTGGGCATACTACCAGTTTCGCAAGTCTCAAGTAAAATAAGATTGGGTGTATGCGTGGTATCATGTTTTGGTTCTTCGGGGGTTGCGGTGGGTCTCCTTGTCTTGATCCCGCCCTTCAAACTCTTGCGGTTTTTCTTTTTCGTCATTTCACAAGAATTAGCAGCAGCAGCACAGGTTCTTGCAAAGATAAGGTTGCAATCCGATTGTGCCATGCGGTAATTACTGGTGTTGCTTGGGACGAATGTAGAAGGTGGGCGCGGAGGCAAGGCGCACGGGATATATGGGTAGTGAGAGTGCCTCGGGACGGTGACCGCGCCGTGTTCTTTTTCCCTCTTTTTTCTTAGAATGGGTGCGCGAGGCCTTGATGGAATCGGTACTTCGCGGGGCAGGGCGCAGGCATGGGGTCAAAAAACGATGGACATCTCCTTCAAACCTGTTATGTTGGCGTTGGGTTGTCTCGATACTCCAAAAACGGATTGAGCGTCCTATAGACTAATAGGAAAACGTGGGGTTGGTTACCTACCCGCCCACCGCAAACAGTCGCGGTCTTGCCGTGTTGTTTTTGCCCGACTTTTCGTGTTTTCGACCCTTCTCTGCACCTCCGCCCACTACACAGGCCACCATCGTAAAGTGATAGGGTTCGAGGAGGATAGCTAAGGTCCGAATTAAGGCCTTCCCGCTAAAAAGAAAAAAAAAACTAGGGAATGAGGGTATGTGGGGATCCACGGCTGGGCAACTACTTGTTGATGAGGCTTTTCGCTTGAAATGGGACCATGAAGCCCACGCAGTCCCCGCGGGCGCAACGCCGTCAGGACGTTACGCGGTGCCTGCTGAAACCACCCCTAGTCAACGCGCAAGCTGCTGGAAGAATACCACCGCAGTTGGATGTATAGATGCGATCGAGGGTTTGCCCACACCGTACCCCAGCACAACGGTCAGGACGCTCCGTGATGCCTGGCCTGCTAACACCCGTTTCGTAGTCTAAGACAAAAGCCGCGACGACGCATTTTCATGTAGATGTTCAGGTGCCATAGAATATCTACTGCTGCTACCGTGCATGTCTCCTTGAGATCGTTGTTACTTCGAGCAAGAGAGCAATGCATCGCTGAACGATACATCTTGCTCGAGCCCCGACCTCAGATTTACCTCCAACAGCGCTTCGGGGTCGTGCCGAAAATCGTGGCAATCGTGGCACCCAGGAATCGTAGCAAGCCCGCCAGCGCTGGCATACCTACCATGGTACACGTTTAAGACACTGTTTCGCTCAAAATGAGACATTGATAAAAAGTCCAGATTTTCGTGTCCGACAGTGCCCCACGCTCCACACGCACGAGCAGCATTCGTTGTATGATTTAATAGAACAAAACAACCAATTAGAAGCTCCCCTGCTTAGGGACCCTCCCAAACAGTGATCTGCAATCACGTTCCTCCATTCATAATTCGAGATAGCTAGCACAGACTAAAAAAAAGATAGCACCCATAACCCGTAACTGTTCATCCGGGAAAATTCAACGTGGAAACAAAAAGGGAGGCGAGAGCGAGGGGGGCGCACCGCGGAGAGGTACTCGCGATACCATGCACCATCCATCTGCTTTCAACTCTCACCACTCTATTCGAACGTGAAAGATAGTCAAAACCGAACAAACCCTCTAACAACAAACAAAATCATCATGCGCTGGAGGCCCCTGGGTACGTCGATGCTGCAGACAAAAACACAGCTAATAATAAGGGAAAAAGAGCAACCAGTTTTCATTGCCGTGCTCCCCCCGGCCAAAAAAAGGTACAACGAAAGGACACAAGGTGCGGCTCAGCCGTTTCGCCCGCTACAACGAAGCCAGGCTAAGCGACTTCTCTTCTACGCCCCTCCCGACGCTCCGCTCCCACTCCTCCTGCTCCCCCTCGAGCATGGCCAGCGCGGCGGCGGACTGCGCCAGCTCCCGCTCCAGCCTGTCCACCGCAGCCTCCGACTTCTTGTTCCACGCCTTGTTGAGCGACTTGCGCTTGGATTCGATCTCTAGCGCTCGCTGCTCCTCTGCCGAAAGCAACGCCGCCGCAGCCGCGGCGGACGAGTCCGACTTCCTCCCCCCGTCGCTGGGGTTTGCGTCACCCCCTCCGGCTTTGTCCAGCCCTGCACCTAGCCTAATAGTAGCGCCCACGTGCGTGGGCTCCCCCCGCTCCTCTAAGCTTCGCTTGGACTCCACGTCTAGCTTACCGGCCGGAGTGACGGCCAGAGCGGGTAATTCTAACCCCGCCACAACCCTGCAGGCCTTCTCCAACCCTGCTACCCCCAGCCCGTTCGTCACCTCGTCCGCCGGGTGGCCGCAAACCTTCACCTCATCGGCCTTTCGCTTAGAAGGCGCCCCCGCCGCCGCCGCCGCCGCCGCCTTCTTGCTGCCGCTCTTGCCCCCGCTCTCCCGTCTCGCAGGCACCGCGTCCGTCGCCGGTGCTCGGTCCAACGCCGCCACGAGCACCGCCTCCACCGCCTGCGTCGACTCGGACGCGTCAACGCCGGCCTTGAACTCGATCTTAAGCGGCCGGTCCCCGGCAGCGGCAAGGCCGGCGGCGCCGCCCTTCTCCACGCCGCTCGCCGGCTGCCGCTGCTTCGCCTCCAGGCCCTCCGCCTCCGCGATCAGCGCCCTCGCCGCCGCGACGGCCTCGCTGGCCGGTTCTCGCAGTCCCGCGTCCACGAATATCTGGCCGACCTTGTGCTCCCGGACGCGATAGTTGCGGTACGGCTGCCGAAGCTTGGAGAGCGCCTTCGACTCGATTTGCCGCACGCGCTCGCGCGTGAGCCCCAGATCCCGACCGATCTCTTCGAGGGTCTTGGAGGTGGCACCGTCGAGGCCGTAGCGCGCTCGCACCACCTGTTCGGGTTAACGGGGGGGCGGCGGCCGGGCGGTCGGGCGGTGGGGGGGTGGGGGCTCAGCTTTTCTATGCGGCAGCTTTCGTATTGGCTTGGTGAATGCCTTGTTGATCCAGAACACGGAAGCGACAGAAAACACAAGCAAGCGGGCAAGACAAACCGGGGTGGAACGACGCGAGACTGCGCTTCGCTTCGAACAAACGAGCTTCACACTGTACAACGTGAACGCATACTGCTGGTCTCTACATGTACGCGACAGCGACAGCGAAACAAAAACATAAACCATAAAGAGGGAAGAGAGAGAGGGGAGCACGAAGATGTAATCCACCCACCTTTTGCTCCCGGTCTTTGAGCGTGGCCAGCAGCGCCGTCACTTTCCCCTTCATGTAGAACGCCTGCGTCGCGTCTTCCGGGTTGGGGGTGCTCTTCTCGCCGATCTGGGTCCCCAGGTCGTCAGCGGCACCGTCGGACACCTTGTTCGAAGCACGCGTGTCGAGGCTGATGCTGTCTGTACGCAGGGCCGCCTGACGGTAGTGCTGGAGGGAGGAGGATGACCGAAGGGGAGCCGCGGTGGGGAAGAGGGGGGGAGGGATAAGGACAGCGGTTACACAAACAACAGTTTCACACCGCTGACGTGAAGTTAAAAACAACATACTCCGTGTACAGAGAGACTACCCGTCACGAGACAATACAATACACCCAAACCGAAGGGATGCACGGAATGTTTGCGAAAAGTTGCAGACTTTGGCACAAGCTAGCTAGCGTACCTGAGTCGCCTCCATTTCGCCATGCATGCAACAAAATCTTCACACCATACACACAGAGACAGTTTGTGCTTTAAACCGCACGGATACTGACGTCTTTTCATTGATCAGCCGGTTAGCGCGGTCGATGCTAGTGAGAAAACACACACACGCACACACAAACACACCTGAATCTTCTCGACGGTGGCCCCGAGCTTGTCGCCGAGCTCTTCGTCCGTAGGCACCCTACCATCCACCGTAAGCTCGTACGTGTACTTCCGGATGGAGCTCAGAAAGGCGTGCACTTGAGTGGGCAAACGAATAACTCGGCTCTGTTACCGGCAACAACCAACAACGAAACGAAGAGGGCGTTTCCAGATGGTTAGGCCGGGGCGCGCGCGCGGAGGGGGGGGAGTACAGCGTCCATGCAACCGAGGTAGACACCACGGGGCGCCGACCGTCTAATGCAAACCTCCTTTGTCCGGTGTTTCCATGGCGACGGTTTTACTGCTCGAAGAGCCAAGAGACGGCAACTCGCCTCTCACCAAATACCGCCTTTTTTCCCTAAGAACATTTCTTCGCAAAAGTTTCAACGTAATCTCGACTCCTTCCCATGTGGATAAAGGTTTTACGGACATCAGAACATGCAGTGAGCGGAGACCGGAACAATGTTTAATGTGAAGGTAACAACAACACAACATGGAACCCTACCGCAAAAAAAAAAAAACAACGTCGTCGAGTCAACACAAACCTGGTTCGCGATGCCCGTCAAGATGCTCTTCTTGATCCACCACTGGGCGTACGTATAGAACTGGAAGCCCATCTCCGGGTTGAACTTCTCGCACGCCTTCACCAGGCCCATGGTGCCCTCCTGGATAAGGTCCGGGAACGCCAGCCCCCGGCCCCGGTAGCCGCGCGCCATGCTCACCACGAGCCTGAGGTTAGCCGAGATCATGTGCTCCTTGGCCTCGTCCGCGACAGCGAGCTCCCGCAGCAGCTCGTCCTTGGTGAGGTGGAGCGTCGAGGCCCACTCCTCGCAAGAAGGGGCTGCCCCGTGGGCGGTCTCGAGACGATCTCGGACGCGCTCGAGCTGGAGGCCTGCCGGCGGTGATTTCGGTGCCGGTTCGGAGGGGGAAAGACAAGGGCGGTTGATGTTCACTTTGTTATGTTTCGCTTAAGCCACACAATTTAATCCTTCTCAAACATTTAGGCAAAGGATCAATTACTGTTCGTGTAAGGTACCGATGAGCTATCCTTTCGAAGCCGCGTGGTTGCCTTTTTCTTTCGTTGTCAACTCTTTGTCGGATGAACAAAAACGTGATTGTTTCAACAGCATACGTAGTCAGCTTTCTGATGGGGTTTGGATCAGCGTCAGGAGGGGGGGGAAGGGGGGTCGTGGCTGTGTGTACATGCAGCAACGAACACGCAAACTGAGAACCTTTCATGTAATGATGTATGCATACGTCGCACCTGAATCAACGCTACCAGTGCGTTGAGAATAACCCATGGTAACAGCGCCCTTCTTTTGAAACTGAAATCTCCTTCAGCGTGGGGATATTACGTCGTTCCAAAAGACCGAAACACAAACCCCTTAGCGCTACCAGAGCAACCTAGGCCCTCCTCATCTGATCTTGTCTCAGAAGAATCCGAGCAGGTGTACGAAAGGGAGCCCTCTGTGTGAGAGAGGATTGAAGTGTTGAGTCACGCTGCAGGAACACAAACACGTACGTAGATACCGCACTTGCAGATGCGCCACCATTTACGTCACAGCAACAACTGTACGGCTGTATATACCGGCGGTGGTCACATTCATACTGCGAGAATTTGCTGACACAACCATGACAGGTGGTGGCGAAGAGCAAAAAGGGGGGGGTGTGATTTTGGCGCTGTACACGCTCACCCCTCTGGATTTGTCGCCCAAGGACAACTTCCTCGTCGGGCTTCAGCAGCTTGATCTTCTTGAGGGTCTTGAAGTACACGTTGAGGGGGTTAGCGTCAGACGACGACGACGACGACGACGACGACGACGACATGGCGGAGACAGTCTTCGCGGGGACGGAAGGCGAAACTTCCTTCGAAGGTGGTGCAACTCCTCCCGCCGTATCTGCCTTCGATTCGGCGGCGGCGGCGGTGATTTTCTTTTTCTTGCCGCTGCCGCTGTTTTTTCTTCTGAAGCCCTTCGCCGGCGGCGGCGGGTTTGCCAAAGCGCGTCCTCCTCCTCCCATCGCAGCTACTGTTGGTGCTCTTGCTTGCGAGCCTGCCCCCCTAGCCCGCAATTGCTTGTCTACTGCCCCCACGTCAGTGGCGGCCCTATCCTTAACCGCTGCCCCCGCGCTAGATGACGACTGAGGCACCCTATCCCGGCCCCGCTTTCGCGTCGCCGCCGCCGCCGCTCTCGCCGCTCCCGACCTCGCCGCTACCCCCGGCCTTGCCGCCGCCTTTCGGCTGCTGGACGCCATGCTATAGCGCGAAACCGCTGCTGCCGCTCGGCGTTCACGCCGCCCCGGTGCTGACGCCGCTGACGTGCTTTCGCCCAGGCTTGTTGCCGCTAATCGGCGCTCCGCGCAGTGGAAAGAATCTCCGGCTCCGTGCGTTCGCCCTGGGGGGAGAGGGGGTGGCGTGGCGGCAACAGCGGGCAGGCAAGGGGACATCAACATAATTGATGTGTTGCATCGCTGCTCCCTTTTCATGATGGCAGGAAGTTGAAAAGAAACCCGCTGCTCACGGCACTTCAACTTTGGTTCGTGCACAGGGACATTTAGAGGCTTGTCTACATGTTTGTAAGACGAGACTGTACAAATTCCTTTTCGTTTAATGACATGTGGGCATGTGAGTTTTGACTCAGAACGTGGGGCGGAATCATGTTCGTACACATGAAAGGCCAAACGCTGCGTAATTGTACACCGGACAGCTTGAAACCGCTGTTTTTCATCTGGCCACCAAGCCAATTCGCGAAAGCTAGGCAACACGGGAAGTGCTTAGACCCATCCCGAGAGCACCGGCCTGGCATGGGGGCCAGCTGACTCGTCGTGTGCAACGCTCTCACCGAAGCTGGCGGGTGGAGCGAAGCCCTGTGTTCGTGGCGGTGCCGAGGCACACATTGCCCCAACCACACACACGGCCGTCAATCTTCGCCGAATGAGAACCATTGGCAGGATCGCGCCGCCACCGACGAAGCTCCGCTGGTCCCACGCGTCCGACCCTTGCCCCCTCCCCTCCGTCTCCGGCAAGCAGTCCTCGCTGTAGTGTTGCAAACGTCGTCCCGGTGTCGACCACGTTGAACTGCGCGCGCGAAACGTGAGGCCACACTTGTTTTTTATTGGCCCGGTTGAATGGGAAACTGCTCGGTGTTGCGTTGACGCGTTAGCCCTTGCGATCGGATCCCACGCAGTGCTAGAAGGACCCCGGTTGCTGCCGAGAAGCTTGTTGAAGATATGCACTCGCTCTCGTTCTCTCTTTGACGTTGCTTTTTGGGGGTCAGGCTGTCGCGTGCCTATTGTAGTTGCCTTCTGCGGACAACGAGTGTATTTTGGCGTTTTCCCTTTGCGGGGTTGCTGCCCTATGATCCCCCCGCCTGGTGTCTGTCAGTTGTCAGTTGCCAGTTGTCAGCAGCAGCAAAGCGAGGAGGGCTTATCATCATTCGTTTGCGGTTTGGATTGTGGTGTGTCATGTTGCTCGTTCGAGGCCTTTCCTTGCTGGCTGTCGGCCTCGCGGTGGCACCGACCGGCTGTGCGCTTGTCCCGCCCACGCCGCTGCCTCGGACGTCAGCGGGAGGCCACGCTGCTGCGACTGCGAGAGGCAAACATGTCAGGCAAGGATGTCCTCTATTCTGCAGACGTATGTACTTGCAGCAGACGTAGGGTCGGTCCTGTAGAACAATCGCATACGTGCCTACCATGTGTGCTGGCAAGCGTTCATGCTGGCAAGCCTCCAACCCTCTCCCTTGTGTACGAGTCGAACGATCTGTCGTGTCGTCTCAACTGTTCTCTCAGTACATCGCCCACGTTCATACGCCGTCCTAGATTTAAGTATATGATGAGTGTACACATCGTCAACTCTGCAACCCTTTACAGCAGTGTATCGTGTGTTCTTGTTCCGAGACAGGATGTAGATGCAAACACCTAGCGTCAGTTGGAAGTCAACGTTGTCGACTGCGCGGCGATGATGCACGTACCACTTGATGAAACTGTTGCAGGGCTGTTGGTACTTTTACTTTTTTGTAATGCTGTGAGGAGTTACTTCGGAAACATTTTGTACTTCGAAGTACCATTCAAGAGGGTCGTCCACGGAGACGACCTCGCTGTACTCTTCGTGCATTGAGCTACACAGCGGTAAGTTGAGGCCAGGACAGCCGTCGGGTAGGGAGCCGGACAGGACAGGGAGGAAGAGACAGGGGAAGAAACTCTGACAGTGAGAAAAGGCGACACGCAGCTAGCTCTCGTACCGTATTTTGAAACGTCTAAGACGGCGACGTGCCGAGAACAGTGCTGGGAAATAGCGCGGAACGTGCAAGGCATCCGGAGGGTTGACACGGGATGTCCCCGGAGTTGCTCACAACTCTGCGCAACCCTACTGCTTGAGTGTGAGTGGGTTCCGGTAATCCCGCTCGCGCGCAGCAGCTTTGGCATTGTGCGATGTTTTGCTGCTGTCTGTTGATGAGAGAGGAAGAAAATCGCTGCTACTGCTGTACATCTAGCGTGTACACACGTGTTCGGGGCGCTAGACACATACACATCGATAACTCACACACAAACTTCTTGCGGCAGCTGGACGTGGGTGCTTTGAGTATACAATCAGTACGGAGTAAAATCTTCGGTGTATTTGGCCTTGAGGGACGCCATACGAGTATCATCATCCTTTACCAGGCGTCTCCCCTTTCTCTGTCTGGATGTTGTGCATAACCTTTAATACGGCAGCTGGACGGGGGTGTTTTCTAGTATACGATCAGCATCGTGGGTGTGCACTATTACAGTGTTAGTTGATTCTTTAGTTTTCAGTCTTGCGGACGCAATGCGAATATGGTCATCCTTTGCAAGGCGTCGCCCCTGTACTCTCTCTGGATGTTGAGCATCGCTCGATCGTTCTCTTCTCGTCTTTGGACGAGTTTTGTTTTCAAATCGTGCAAGATGTTCTCGACTGACCGACCTGTCTCTGAAACCTCTTTTCCGCCCGCTCTCAGGCAAATCGCGTCTTGGAGAGGAGGAGCGGTTGAAAGCAGCGAGGGCGGACCACCTCTCATGAACGCCCAGCTAGGACTGGTCAGGGTCGCTGGATATGGCATCATCGCTGGTTCTCTTTGCCTCAAGGTGCCCTCGTAGGATCAGCTCTCTGTCTCTGTCTGTATGACTCCCTCCATCTACATGTCTCTCTATGTGCATCTCTATTTATTTCCTCTATCTCTTTCTTCATCTGTCTCATCTCTACAGTAGATGTATATATCGCGCTCTTTGGCACGTGCAAGACCAATTCAGAGGCGAGCCGCAGAGGCGGGTGTCCTCTGCTACGAAAGGGTAAAGACTTTAGACCTAGAGTCCTGGGTGTACTAAGCTCACAGAAGTCTCAACAGCAGCAGATGAACGCTCTTGTTGCAACAACAGCAGCGGCGACATGGCACCGAGAGGGAGCGTTGTTGTTTGTTTCGACTGTTGTCGGGGTCTTCCCGTGGCACTCCGATCCAGGTTTCAAGTGACCCTTGCAACTCTCCACACAAGCAGCGTTGATTCCAGGGTTCGTGCGTTCCTCCTTACACGACCGCACTTGGTTGCCATTCGTCCATTTTTTTTTGGCGTTTGGGAGGCACAGCAGTGCCCCAAAGTAGAAGAGGGAAAGGATGACGAGGGGAACCAATTACAGAATTTGCTAGGCGGTGATGCGCACAGAGCATGCTTGTGGAGCGTATATTCCTCTTCCCATCCTCGCCCCTGCCGTTCCCAAAGTGAAACCTCTGAGATTTACCGAGCTCGTGACGTCGAGGCAGCCACTTTAGTGTCGTACAGAGCCACCGTGACGGCTCAAGCTCCCCCCCCTTGTTCCCCGCCTTTGGTTTGTATAGATCAACCCCGCGGGGGTGTCACGCTTATGACCGTCTGAGATGAATTGTGACTCCCCCCTCGCACCCACCTCTCCATCCTCCTCTCTGCAGACCCCCCAGATCGCACGGGTGTGGCACGCCAAGTCCCTGGTGGGCCTCGCGCCGGCTTCCATCTACGCGGACGTGTTCCTCTTCGCGACCTCCGTCATCTACCACGTTCTCAAGAGGAACCCCATCCGCGCCTACGGCGAGTCGGTGGTCGTGCTGTTCCAGACGCTGGTGATGGTGGGGCTGCTGTGGCGGTTCGGCACCGAGGAAGAGGTTGCCGTATCCGACGGCGGCGGCGGCGGCAGCGACGAGGAAGGTATGTTGGGGGGCTGGGGGGGGGGTTGTACTCATAGCCGTGTATGCCGTATTTGACGATTGACCTCGGATCATCACTACCAAGCATTGACGGAGCACGGCCGGATTTCTGACCAGACCAGGTTCCCACATCACCAGCGCCGTGAGGAATTCGGCGAGTCGCATGGGAAGGAGTGTTGGGTTGAGTGCAACGAGAGAGAGAGAGAGGCTGGAAAGCGGTAACGTTGTAGCGGTAGTTCTTTGGGGTGTGACGGGGTATCATTTTCGGACAGTGGGAGTGGGAGGTTGTGCTGATTTTTCAGGAGCTGACGACGTGGGGCGAGGGCACCGTTTTTCATTTCGACGGCAGCAAGGGGGGGGGGGTCACTTCTACCAACGGTATTGACGGGGTCGTGTAGAGACAGTGGCGACAGCGGGAGCAGGTATTGGGACCCCTCTGGAACTCGGCTTGAGGCCGAGGGGGGCCGGAACTACAACCGGTAGTAGTCGGAAGGGGTGGCGGCCTGATAGGGTTCACCCTACGGTCGCCCGATTCCCACCCCTTCTGTTGCGTGTGGTACAGAGAGCTGGGGTTAGGGTTAAGGTTACAGCCACCGGCGCCATCCTCGCGTGCAAGCATGCATCATTAACCGTACCGTAGCGTGATTCTTCTCAATCTGTTGGTTTGTTTCAACGATCTCTAAAGAGGGGTCCCGTGGCCTAAGGATAGGAAGGAAGCGACGTTGCGTGGAGTTGAGGGTAGGGAGTTGTACTAATGTAAATGCATGCCGCAGTCGTACGGCTGTTGACCTCATACCCCTACACTGGGCGGGGGACATCGGGGTGCACTCTGGCGGGTGCGACAGCAACTCCCCGCATGCACGCCCCGACCCTCTGTCTGTCGTGTAAACTTTATTCTGCTGCTCCTGTGCATAGCTCGGACGAAGACTATCCAAGACTAGTGCGTTAATCTCTGCCTACAGCCCCCACGGCACAACATTTAATAAACTGTATGTTGCTGACCCGGAAAAACGTTTGGACAGCTCTCGTCACCAAGAGCATCAAGAAAGTAAAGCCCGCCGGGGGAGGACCTCTCGGGAGGACGGCGATAGCGGTCGGCTCCGTGGCGGCCTCGGTGCTGTGCGTGCTCTACCTTCCCGAACGCCTGTGGGGGCTGCTGGTGGTCGTGTCCACGCCGACGATACTGGCGGTTCAGCTGCCGCAGATTTGGAAGAACTGGCGGCAGAAGCACACAGGAGAGCTGGCAATGCTGACGGTGCTGCTCGCTTTTGGGGGGTCATCCGTTCGGATAGCAACGACCATAGCGGTGAGAGGCGGCGGGATGTATGATTAGGCATGCCGTACATGGGTTGCTGCGGAAGATTTCATACCCCCGTGGACCGATTTTCAATGCTCTGCAGCTATGGCAGTGAGGGTGCCTATGTTGGAACCTTCTCATCGAGATCTTTCCGAGAAGTCATCAGTTGACTGCGGCATCGATCTTAAGAAATCTTTCCAGGGGAAGTGTGGAATCGTAGTGCAACACATCAGATGGGTTGCAAAAGATAGCACACCCGGTCGACCGATTTTGACAGCTCGATTACTTAGCAGCGCAACAGCGGTGAGGGTGCCAGCGTTGGAACCGTTATGTCAAGAGCTTTCCGAAAATACTTCATTCATTCTAGGATTGCATAAATCGGCCCAGGGGAAGTGTGGAATGTTATGCAACACATCAGATGGATTGCAGAAGATGGCACACCCCGTCGGCCAATTTTCAACGCTCGATTACTTAGCAGCGCAACAGCGGTGATGGTGCCAGCGTTGGAACCGTTTTGTCGGGAGCTTTTCCGAAAACGCATCGTTGACTCTTATGGCATTCTCGTCGTCATGGAGTGGTCGGGCTTAACAGAATCGGTCCAGGGACTGGAAATGCTTCTGCAACACGTTTTGCTACCAGTTTTACCACGCTGTAGGGCGGAAATTGACGTGGCGGCGAGAGCCTGCGAATGTAGATGACACATTTCCCTCTCCACGTTCATGGGTGTCTCCGTATTCTCGGATTTCAAGGCAGTCTAGGCCTGAAGGCGTTTTTTTATTCTTTCTTTAGTAACACAACAATCTCATCTCTTCCACAGATGAGAGTCCGGGATAGATTAACAATGAATTCATAATGTTGTATGATGACCAACTTGTATTTCTACGGTTCCCCGAGCAGCATACTGCGATATCTCCCCTGTGGGTACCAGGCTCAACAGGCGTTGTTTTGTGAGGCCGGTCTATTGGTGGTGATATGTAGTGCTGGGGCATGGACCTTGCATCTGTAGGCCTGCTTCCCGTTGGCATTGGGAGAGGTAAGAGCGGCTGTAAAGGGCACACCTGCACTTGCGTCACACGTGGGACGCGGAGAACATGCAGGCACGTTGCTTTGTGTACCGTGGCATGCGTTCCTTCAGGACAATGCAGAAGGCCTTGCTACTGCTGCTGCTGCTGCTGCTGCTGCTACTGTTGTTGTTGTTGTTGTTGTTGTTGTTGTTGTTGTTGTTTTTCAAGAACTTGCACCGGAACCTGTGGCCCGACACCTTGCTCTTCGAGCTGATAGAACCGAATTTCGCCGTCGTTCGCCGATACAAGCAAAGTTCTCAATACGCGACCCCCCCCGCCCCCCCTACCCCCCCTCCCCCTGGTGTTTGCCATCGGGGTTGGGTTTTCGTCGCTTGGCAACGACGTTGTAAAGCAAGCCGCCCCCCCCCCCGGTGTTTTACCATCGGGGTTGGGTTTTCGTCGCTTGGCAACGACGTTGTAAAGCAAGCCGCCCCCCCCCCCGGTGTTTTACCATCGGGGTTGGGTTTTCGTCGCTTGGCAACGACGTTGTAAAGCAAGCCGCCCCCCCCCCCGGTGTTTTACCATCGGGGTTGGGTTTTCGTCGCTTGGCAACGACGTTGTAAAGCAAGCCGCCCCCCCCCCCGGTGTTTTACCATCGGGGTTGGGTTTTCGTCGCTTGGCAACGACGTTGTAAAGCAAGCCGCCCCCCCCCCCGGTGTTTTACCATCGGGGTTGGGTTTTCGTCGCTTGGCAACGACGTTGTAAAGCAAGCCGCCCCCCCCCCCGGTGTTTTACCATCGGGGTTGGGTTTTCGTCGCTTGGCAACGACGTTGTAAAGCAAGCCGCCCCCCCCCCCGGTGTTTTACCATCGGGGTTGGGTTTTCGTCGCTTGGCAACGACGTTGTAAAGCAAGCCGCCCCCCCCCCCGGTGTTTTACCATCGGGGTTGGGTTTTCGTCGCTTGGCAACGACGTTGTAAAGCAAGCCGCCCCCCCCCCCGGTGTTTTACCATCGGGGTTGGGTTTTCGTCGCTTGGCAACGACGTTGTAAAACAAGCCAATTCACTTCGTGAACTCGGCAACCAGGTTACCGTTTTTTTTTTTACCTCCGGGTTTTTTTTTGGCGGTAACCATAATGGTGGCCGCGTAGATCATGTTGTGCGGGGTGAACCCTCACTCCGCGCAAGGGGGATGATCGCACCACGTTGTGTTAAAGGTCAAGCAGCCTCGAGGCAGTTACACAGTGCTTACAACTGTCTCTGGAAGTGAAAGCACCAGAAATTAAATTTAATCATACGAAGCTGTCATCCGTACGCAAGGAAGTAAGCACAAGATGCCGAACACCCTTAGCAGGATGCAGCGCACCCTTCATGCGACTCGCCGAATATCTCACGGCGCTTCGCGCTTGGTGATGTGAGAGCCTGGTCCGGTGAGAACCCGGCGTGCTCCGTCCCGGCTTTGTAGGGATGCGAGGTCAATGGTCTAACGACTACGCATGCACGACAATGCGTACCCCCCCTCCCCCCCGAGCTGCGAAGACAGGGTTCATGCAGTCGCGGAATGTGTAATGTACATGACTGAGCAGGGAATTGGATAAGTAGGAGGAAGAGGCAGGTAGATGTTTGAGGCATGAAATAGCCACAAGAAGATGGTAGCTGTACTGGGGCATAGGAAGTGGGTTTGAAAAGCCGGGAAGTGACACCGACAGGACAGATAGGCTAGGGAAATTTTGTTTGAGTCACCTTTGCCAAAGTAGGAAGGAACGATTGGCCACCGGTGACTAGTCCTGAGGTAACAATGCACAGTCTTGTCGGGGACGCATGGTCAATGGTCTAACGACTAAGCCATGCAAAGCAAAACGTAAGAGTACGCCCCCCCCCCCACTCCCCCGCCACCTCTCGTCCGTGTTGTGCAGGACCTTGGGGGGGACCCGTGGCTGCTGTTCAACTACATCTTGGGAGCGACCTCAAACGCGACAATTTTGGCGCAGATCTATCTCTACAGAGCTCTCACCGCCAAAGTGCGACGAGACGTCAAGGCGAAGGCCGACAAGGCTACGCATGCGGCGTGATTGTACGACGGTGGGGGGGGGAGTTCCTTTTCGTACATATGTCGGTGTCTCAGACAGCAAATGTTCAGGAGTCTTGTTTTTTCTAACCCTTAGCCTTGTTGACGATGTAGTAGGCGTTCTTGGTTTAGGAGGCGAGGGTGAGAAAAATCCCCTCAGCTTTCGATATTACTTGCCAACCGTGAGTGACGGAGATAAATGCCGGGAGCGAAGTTACACACCCGCTTGAGTTTGGATCGTGAGCGAGTGTTGTGGCCAAGGCACTGGGGCTGCGCCCGTAGGAGGCGAGGGGATGCAGCCGATACTGAAAATCACCCCGCTAATATATATATAATAGTTGGGGCTCTCGTTCTTGTGGGATGTACTGCTGTCGCCGGTCTTGTCGGGGTTGCTTAGAGCTTTGTTCCCCAGCTGCTCTTGCGTCGCTGGTGTGACCACAGCAGCCGCTGCAGCAGTGCAATTACATACATGACATGCTGTTGGTACTCCTGCTGTAGCCAGATTTCCTAGAGATGCCTATTTTGATTGCATGCTTGGTGCGTATGATATGATATAGACAGGGGGAGGTTTCCGATTCGCTATCGCTGCCACCTTTGCCTATCTTCCGTGTGAAATTTACGCGATACATTTTGCGGTCGTTATCTCGACCAATTCGTCAGTACAATCTTTTAGTGAACCCTGCCTGTACTTGAGCGATCGTTACCGAGAATCTTATTCAAAATGCAAGCGTAATGGTTTACTAGCGGTTCCGGGATCGACTCGTGGACTCTGTTTTTCTTCTGTTCATCATTGTGCTGCTGCTGTTGCCTTTCCGCAGCGCCCGTCTCAGCACACACAGCAGTAGCTTCGCAGTTTTTTTTTTCGAATTTCCCGGGGAGGCGGTTCTCTCAGCACAGGCTGGACGCGGAACGACATCAAGCAGTTGTTGTTGTTGTTGTTGTTGTTGTTGTTGTTGTTGTTGTCTTCACATTAAAAACCATCCCGGTCTCTATCCAGTACGTCCTTCTGTCTCAATCTCTCCGTACTAATCCATCACTTGACTCGGCCAATTTCCGTGGTCACAGGCTAACGTACCTAGAAAAGGTATACCAAAATAAAATGGACCCCAAGGGTCAGCAGAGCGATAAAATACAAGAAAACAAAATATAATCAGAAACAAATAAAATAAAATAAAATAAATAATTAGACTAGTGGAACGGCCGCACCACCAGCCTGGGGGGGTAGCCTCCCACTACATGGAGGCAGGTCGACGGCCAAAGGAAGGGGCGGGGGTACGTGCCAGTAAAAAACAAAACAAAAGACAAAATAAAACAGAATAAAGCAAAGACGAGTACACAAACAAACTCGCACAGAGACAGGGATATCCCTAGAGACAGTCTGAACGCGACAGCAAACGGGGGAGAGGGCAACAGAAAAATTAGTCGTTGATATTCGACCGCAACAACATGTCACGTCACGCGGTCGGTCGTGTACAACAGCAATTAAATAGACTACTCGGTCTAGACTTACGCCGTACACACGGATGGCAATGCCTCAAGCCACGGCCGTCAAAACGAAAGTAGTACGAATGAGCATTGAACGCGTAGCTGCAGCAGATATGTCGGCGGACGCAGCCTGCTAGACTATATCCTCCTTTCCTCCTCTACAACCAGCAGCCTTTCATCTACACAGGGTACATTCCCTCTCTCAGCAATAGCAGCCGTATGTGTGATGTCCATGTACGGAGACAATCTCTTCAGAAAATGTATTTCTAGACCATTGTTGTTGAACGACGTACCCACCCAAGACAGACATCAAGTAACGATTCCACAAAACAGCGAGCCATGAGCTTTGCAGAGCGAAGGAAATGACAATGATTCTGAGTAAGATGGATCTTGATTGATCTGTCTTCTGGGAACAAATCGGGTTCCGTTCCGGGGGGCGGGGGGGGAGGAATACAACAGCCCCCCCGAAAAATAAACACGCCTTCGATGAAAGAAACAGAAAAAAGTCAAGCACGGGGAGCGAGGGTGACAAAACACAGGGATCCACGTCGCACAGCTGCCGTGGGACAGAGGACTCCACACCGACGTAGCCCTTTCGATTCCGTAGCACGTGCTTCGGCTTCCTCAGTCACGGAGCAGGTCGTCTCGGCGAAGAAGAGGAGAGGAACAAGCTTTTCTCTCCTTTGACGCAGCATATATTTTGCCCACAACCAACCACTGAAAAAAACATCAACAAGGCCACCGCAGACACCACGCGCGCCATTCTTGGCATTGCTTCGGTGTGGCCGGAGACAGGAGCAAGTGGGGGTACTGCTGCGCGTTGGTCGGCGGCGTGGGCGGCAGGGGCTGGCTGCCATGGTTTCTTCCCGGCGAAGAATAACGGTCTGTGTGGTAGGTGCAATGTGCGCCTCGGCGCCACCAGCTGAGGGCTTCACCCCACCAGTCTGTTTAGGTGAGCGCAGTGAGCGTTTGGGTGCAGGCGGTGCATGCGTAACGCGCCACCTTGCATGGGCACCCTGTACACATTCAGGCAGAGAAGGAAAGAGGCAGGGCACTTGTTGTTTGTCACGCATGGCAAAAGTGCAACGTGTTGTTGTCCATCACCCTGAACTCCTACTTTGATATATTGGGCAGGTTGTGTTTGAACCCGTCATCATTGCCTAGTTGGGAAGTCTGACGCAAACATGTGTATGCCGATATGCGCTTGCTTCTTGATGTTTCGGGAAAAACAGCGCGTGTTTGTGGTGCGGGGGACGCGTTCTACTCCGCGGAGCGTCGATTAGCGGCAGGCTCCGGGGCGGGCAGAGATGGCGGCAGTGGCGGTAGGCGAGGGACGATGAGAGGGCGAGAGGCAGCTGCTGCGCCCGTTGCGCGTGGAGCGTTGCCAGCACCTCCTACAAGAAGAAGGTCGACAGCAGCACGGTGGATGATACAACATCCCGCCCCAAGTAGGTCAGCAGCAACGAGAATGATGTCTGCCGCCGTCGCAGCAGAGCCAGTAGAAGAGCTAGACACACTGCGGCCGCCGCCACCGCAGCTGCCCGGGATGCCGTTCGACATGCGAGACGACAGCGAGTTTTACCTCGAGATGGAGCGAAAGAAGGAGGCCGGACCGACGTACACTAGGGACAGCGATATGGTAGGCCTCGGAAAGGTTTCCACAAAAAAGTCGGCGAAGCGGGACGGCGGCGGCGGCGGCGGCGGCGGCGGGGGGGACGCCCTCGCCTTCTACCTCCGCACTGTCGCCAAGGTCGATCTACTCAAGCCCCACGAGGAGATAGTGCTCGGGCGGCAGATCCAGAAAGGAGTCTCCTATGAGAACACCCGGGATCACCTCCAGCTCATGCGCGGCTACGAGCCTACCGAGGAGGAGTGGGCGGTGGCGCTCGGCATGGACCGGGAGGAGCTGGTGAAGGAGCTCAGCAGGGCAAGCAAGGCCAAGATGGCCATGCTGGCCGCGAACCTAAGGCTCGTCGTGAGCGTAGCCAAGCGGTACCGCTTCCAGAAGCTTAGCTTCCAGGACCTGATCCAGGAGGGGACGTTCGGCCTCGTGAAGGCGGCGGAGAAGTTTGACCCGGAGAGAGGGTTCAAGTTCTCCACCTATGCCACCTGGTGGATCAAGCAGAGCATCATGCGGGGCATCGCTGACCAGGTGTGTTTGTGCTTGTGGGTCCCCCCGGTATGTTCGTGTGTGTTTTCATTGTTAGCATCGACCGCGCTAACCGGCTGACCAATGGAAATAGGAAAATACGTCAGTCTCAGTGCGGTTGAAAACACAAAACACTTGTATCTGCCATGAACTGGGACCCCGTGAGGGGCAGCATGGGGGAGGCTAAACTATCTCTTGTATCAAAGACAGAAACAGCAGCAACAGAAGAAAACTGCACGTGTCTACCAAGGCTACTACCTTGTACTCGAGTTCGTTTTGGAGTGCTTTCACCATTATCCTGTGTGTGTGTGTGTGTTTTTTTTTTGTTTAATCCCAGGGTGGATGCACACTTCACCACCACAGCCGTGTAACTGCTGCTGTACTGCTGGATGTTGAGAATTTGCTGTGGCAGGTTATCATGTGTCATGTGTGATTTACGGGAATTCACGCGCGTGCTTGCGGCGGGGCGGTGCAACCAGTGTTAAACAAGGTTTGCATACTGAGAGCATGTACTTTCTCTCTGTGTGCGAGGCACACGTACCTGAAGTCAAAACCAAGAAACGGCCTAGATACATGCCTGTGGCTACAACCTTCCTCATGTTCAATTAAGCAGGGTGTGGAGGCGGTGTTGGGCAGCACCGGTACTGCCTGGGATCCTTTTTTCCTGCTTTGTACAACACGTGTGTTTTATGTTGAGCCTACTTGGTTCAGAGCGCAACCGCAGTCGATGGAGGGTTAATTGCGAATCTCTACGCTTGGAGGTAAGCAAGGTGCCCTCACGATGGGCAACGACGACGCAGCCACGGACACCCGTAGAAAAACGTGAACTCTAATGTAGGCAGGGTTGTTTGTGGTGCCTTGAGACCACACGTGAGAGGTGGTGGATCGGAAGCCAGCCGGACGAGAGACTGAAGCGGCCAGGGGGTGTTGCTTTAGGGAACTACACCGCAACGTGGTTGCCTTGTAAGAACTGCACCGTGAGTCACACAGCAACTTTGATTTGCCCATACACTGCGATCGCCCCCGATTTGAGAAAGGACACTCGTGGGTTTGCCGTTTTTGACACTCGTAAACTTCGTCCTACGTTCTTGATTCGGGAAAAGTGTCCTAATTGTTTATCCCCCGCCCTAACATTTTTGGCACACGCTTGAACAACATGGTGTCCTTCGGAGGTGACCCCAGTGTTATACCCCCGATGTTGCACGCATGCATTGCTAACATCGGTAGCCGGGGTCGAACTTGGCGGCACCCCACGATGCTGCCCGCATGCGTTGCTAACATTTGATGTAGTCGGGGTCAAATTCGGCGGCATGTGTCACCTCGACCGGTGTTCGTTTGCCGCTCATGCCTTGGGAGGAATTCAAGCAATTTGTACGTGTACCACCTTCCTTTCTTTTCTTGGCGCATCTGTAGGTGTGTTGAAATGCGAGGGGGGTGCACCGGTGTTTCGGAGGTTGCGATGAGATTTGCGGCTTTTCTCCAAGACAAATGTATTGTTGTCGCCAAAACGCCGTGTTGAAAGCTGATTTCACGGACTTTCTTCGGTTTTGCTCCAGATGACGAGCAGCTTATTCATGTTTTCCATTTCGGGTCTGATGTGCTGTGTGCAATGCGCATACCTAGGTCAGTGTGCTGGTGCAGGCCGCGCGTGTCTTTTTGCTTCTCGCCGCCAAGCCCCGAACGCGGTACCTTGAAAGTCTGTTTACATTCGCCATGGTCGTTCACGCGAACAGCTGTACCGGCGACATAATGGTTTCACCTTCCCGTTTTCGTCCATGTGTTGTCTTATACAACAGTGTACCGCAGTGAACTGCGTGGGTATCTACCATCCCCCCCCCCCGCCCCCCCCCTCGTCAAGCCCCCCTCCCGGTGTTACCGTTGTCAATGACTACGCAAACCAAGAACTGACTTGGCGGGTGCCACGAGTAATCGTTGCGACCTGTGCCCCTCCCTCCCCCATGGTATTCCTCTTGACGCGCAGCCTCCGTTACTGCTGTTGGTGGCTTTCCTCCCCTTGTGGTGTTCCCCCCCTCATGATGCCATATCTCCGTCCCAACTTGCAGCGTCTCATTGCGTCCTTAACCCATTTTTATCTCGGTCCACTTTTGCTTATTCCTCCGTTTTCCATGTACCCTTTTTTTTTGGTAGTTGTTGGGCCTGTGACCACGAAGGCGTCCTGGTCAGCTAGACCAACCAGTACAGATGTTAGAAAGGTTTTTAGTGTGCAGACAGCCAGTACGACCATTCCCGCCATTCTCACCCCCCCCCACCGCCACCTGTTCATCCTTGCGTTTTTTTCTTTTTGGCCTCGCGCCGCAGAGCCGAATTATCCGGCTGCCGGTGCACGTGCACGACTTCCTCAACCGGGTCCGTAAGGCCACGCTCGAGATGACGGATAAGAATGGAAAGCTTCCCACCGACGAGGAGCTGGCCGAGCACCTGGAGGTTTCGGCGGTTAGAATTCAGGTCCGTCTTTTCATCCTTTTCGATTCACTTTGAGGTACAGTCGTTGTCCCGGTTGAACGGCCACTAGTGTCATAAAACGGTGTATCCGCTATCGAGGGCATCGCCGCTAAGCGGGACTGGCAGTTATGTATTTAGTTGTTTGGACTGAGGTGCAGCAGTGCCAACAAATTGTGGGACCAGCATTCAGGGCATCCCGCATTTCAGTGAACCACTTGCCCGCGGCCGCGACTGTAGAGCATGGAAGAAAAGATCACGAAAAATATCAAAAGTAGTCCCAGCTGTAGCCCCCCCCCCCCCCCCNAAAAAAAAAAAAAAAAACCCCCCCCCCCCCCCCCCCCCCCCCCCCCCCCTTCAACCATTAAAACGCCTCGCTCCTTCCTTCCCTTGGCAAACCCCGGCCCTGCAGTACTACCGCGACGCCGCTCAGGCGACCCTGAGCATGGAGGCCCCTCGGACCATCGCTTCCAAGACTTCCACCTCCCCTGGCAAGAAGGTGGAAATGGGACAGGGTGTCTCTGGTCCGGAGAAGACTCCCGACAAGCAGGCGCAGAGCGACGTCATGAAGCAGAAGGTCACGGAGCTGCTGATGACGTTGAGCATCAGGGAGCAAGAGGTGCGTTCACACTCGTGTATGTGTGTGTGTGTGTGTGTTTTTTTTTTTTCTCGCATCGACCGCGCTCTAGCTGACTGGCTGATGAAAATACGCCAGTCCCAGTGCGGTTGCAAAACGGTTCTACAGGCTACAATGATATGGGACTCCGTGAGGGGGCGTCATGCGGGAGGCTGTTCTACGGTTAGTTGCTACGGAGAATTTTTCAAATCTGGAATCCCGATATCACACCTTTATGTCCAAATCGACATGAGGCCACATGAGTTGTGCGCACTTCGTTGGTAAAGCACGCAAACGCGTTTTGGCACTCAGTACTTGCCTGACAAAGACGTTTGGGCATTCAAACGTTGGAGGCAGCACAGTGCGCTGTTGTGAGCCTCATCGAGCCAAGTTTGGGGAGCTGGGGTGCAGTGTGTTCATCATGCTCGGTAAAATAGGAATATCTACCAATTTGAAAATTCTGGACTATCCTGGTTGAGAGTCCTCAAGGATTCCAAGCTAGAACTGGTTGAAATTCCCACCTGGAAATGGTGCATATGCTTTATTCATATCCGAGGCATTGTCGCGCGTAAATTCCACTCTAGCTGCCCAAACTTGCTCCGAGAAGTTCACAGCAGTGTAGTGTACAGCCTTGACGGTTTGGTAGCAAGCAGGCCGCTGTGAGGCGAGGCGAAAGTGATGAAGTGCCTTGTTGCGCTCTGCTAGCTATCCAGTACGCAGACCTTCCGCTATGTGGGGGTGGTAAATCATTTTCTGTCGAGTCCCTGGATTCCAAATTGGAAATAGTTTCCACAACAAGGCTACGGATTACATGCAGAAACAGTAGCAACAGAAAATGCGCGTGTGTTTTTGTGTTTTAGTTCGTGTGTGTTTTTGTAGAGGGAAGTGGCAGGCGAAGTGTTGATCGATGCGAGCAAGACTTCCCCCACGGAAGGTGGGGAAGGGCTGCACCTCAGCATTTTGCGCAAACCATGACGGTCCTACCATATCTTGATGATGTTTCAGGACCGTCATGTGCACGCACAATAATGAGGTGCAGCCCTTCCCCTCCTTCCGTGGGCGAATTCTCCACACGGATTCGCACTTTGGCTCGCGCCGATTGACATTGCTCGGCCCACACGGACCCCGCCCACAGCCGTTCATCATAGGGTCTAAAGACGACGCCTACAGATGTGGCGCGTGCGGCCTTGAAGATTTCGTGGCGATACGGCCATTGCACTTTGTGGTGATGTGGTGGGGTGAGCGGTCTACCTCTTGGAAGAGTCCGCGTGCGGAGGTTATGCCAGTCGCGAAGAACTCCGTCGGGCCGTCTCTCGTCGGCGATAAAGAGTCAAGCCTATCCGCTATTCAGTCATGCAACACATGAATACCCGCCTCCCCCCCCACCCCCGCCTTTGGCAAAGTAGAAAGGAACGATTGGCCATCGGTGATCGGTCCTGTGGGAACAATGCTCCGTCCTCTCGAGGACGCGCGGTCAATGGTCTAACCGCTAAGACATGCAGACATAAGAGTACGCCCCCCCCCCCCCCCCCCCCCCCCCCCCCCCCCCCCCCCCCCCCCCCCCCCCCCCCCCCCCCCCCCCCCCCCCCCCCNCCCCCCCCGCGACGAATCTCGCTGTATTGTGCTTAGGTGGTGAAGGCGCGCTTCGGCCTTGGCGGTGCCCTTCCCCGCACGCTGGAGGAGGTCGGGCGGGACTTCCGGCTGACGCGAGAGCGAGTGCGGCAGATCGAGGCCCGCGCGCTGCACAAGCTCCGGCAGCCGTACCGAAACTACCGCGTCCGGGACTTCAAGCTGGACCAGATGCTGGTACAGGCCGGTGTGCTCGGCCCACCGAAGGGGGCGATCAAGGCGGCGAGGCAGGCCGTGGCGGAGGCGGAGGCGGCCGCTAAGAGGAACGAGGTGGCGCTGGTACACCAGCGGATGGGCACTGCGCCCGGAGGGGGGAAGCCCGCGGGGGACGTGGGGATCACCTCAGAGCTGCAGTCCATCGTTGGCTCCAAGGGCAAGGAGCTGGGGGAGAAGGAAGGAGGTTGGGGGGAGCTGTCTAGTAGTAGCAGACAAGAGCCTTTGCTGGATGTTGGGCTGAGCGTCGGTGCCGGGGGTGCGAGCGTCGGCCGCAGGCCGAGGGGGAGACCAGCCAACGAGATGTTGCTGCGAAAGAGGCTGCGGCAAGAAGTGGCAGAGGAGGAGGAAGAGGAGGAAGAGGAGGAAGATGATGCGTTCTTGTTTGAGGACGAGTTCGCGAACGAGCTTGACAAGCACCTGGACGACGACTTCGAAGACGACTTCGAAGACGATCTCGCCGCCGCTGTTTTCGGGAGCGACGGGAAGTCGGGGTCGAGGGGGGGAAAGGTATCGATGGACGCCGTGCGCACGCTCAATAAGGCGTGGACGAACACGGCGAACAGCTCGCCGAGAGAGGCTGCCGACCAGCTGTCGATGATGGGCGTGGCGCCGAGGTCAGCGGACGAGGAGGAGCAGCAGCTGCTCTCGACCCTCGACTCGCTAAACCTATTAGACGACGACGACGACGTGGGGGGCCGGGCGGGAGCGGGGGTGTCGGAGTCGAAGGAGGCGATGGACAGACTCCAGAACGAGATGAAGGTGAACCCGATGGGCTTGGGGGATAGGGCAGCGGCAGCGGCGGCGGCGGCGACGGCCTCCAGTAGATCGCTGCAGGCTGCATAGTCGTAGGGACGGGGGGGCGCCTGGGGGGGGCGAAAACGCACGATTCCCCCCCTGTTGCTGCCTGCGACCGACCAGAACCGGACTATCGGAGGTGGATGACGGGGGGAGTTCAGTTTTACGATTGTCGAAAAGAGCGAATAGCGGGTGTGCACGCGTTCTCTGGTAGGATGGATGCATCTCGCGATGGATGCGACTGGCTCCCATTCCATTACCATATCTGGCCTTTTCTGATTTTGGGTTGTTCGGTATTGTAAAGGAATGGTCGTACGAGAAGAGTAGTCATGAAGTCGAAAGCGCGTGGTCCAGTTACCATAGCACGGCCTGCGAGACTTACTCCCGACGGGCTGAGACGGGCGGAGACGCGAGATTTTAGCCGGAGAGGAGTCGGTTGCTTGCTCTCGCCTGCGGTGCCCCTACCGGGAGGGGCGGGGGGTCATGGGCCTATGTCTGTGGCAAGGGTCCACTCATTGTAATAAAAGGGCGTTGAGGGAGGAAATGAGGGTGCGCCGGCGGGGTACAAGCGCTTGCGGTCGGTGTGTCTTTGTTGTGTTTGGGGCTTTTGTGTTGTCCGTTCCAAACACCATTTGGAGTTGGCGTGAGTTTTGACAAACCAGGGCTGAACTTGATTCGATGAGGGTGCTATTTGGGTGGGACGGGGGCAAAACTAGTGGGTAAACTATTTTTTCTTTGGGGGGGGAGGGAAATGCGTACGTAACCTTTTCGTGTGTTGTAATTGTTTGGGGGGCAAACGTGACATCATCAACCAGCAGATTATGGCGTAGAGAGGCGACGATGTGGCCGGTTGTGATCAGAATATCACAGCAATTTAGAGTTGCCGCCGGCATTGCTTTCCGCGCCTACGTTGCCGCGCCGCGCACACGTGTATGGCTTGGAGTAGGCGGGTCGTGCGTCGTGCACCGAACAACCAATTGATGAAATGAACTTTTTGTAGGTGGCGATCCTGTTTGGCACCATTTTTTTTTGGAATATTTGTTCAGTCTCTCGGTGCGACGCCTCCCTTGCTGGGAACACGAAGTACGCCCCCATAGCCTCCCACGTTTAGCGCACACAAGAATCACCACGTGCTGACGTACAGCATGTCAACCGGGAACGACGTTCGGCCTGTTGAGCGGCACAGTCCAGGCGGGTTCGTGTGTGTGTGTGTGTGGGGGGGGGGGGCTCGAAATCATTCCATTTGCGGTTTTCGCGGTGCCCCTGGCGGACAGGTGTTGTGGTAGACGTGATTCTGCTGTAGAGACGAGGGTTTGTCCCAACGGTAGGTTGGGTAGGACAGGTGTGGCATCGTCGTCCCCCGTAGATGAGCGTAACGGCAATGCTTTGCTGTGGCGGGTAGGCTCAGGTGCGGAAAGGATGATGTCGGCCGCGGTGGAACGGCTTGACATGCAGCATGAAACAAGTGTTGTTGTGTTCCGCCGATCTACGTCGATGCCGGTCGGTCGCGTTTGGCCACGCTGCGACAAATACTGGTGTGATGTGCATGGTTCGACATTTTTTTTTCCGTTCGCGTCGCAGTGTTCGTCTACTTATGGTTCCGAACATTGTCGCTCGTAGCCGCCTGCTGTATGCTGCACCATCGCCAGGAGCTTCGAGTTCCCCGGTAATACCTCACCAGGCGATAACGCCTCTTCTATTTTTGGTGGTCGTATCCTGTTGGGGTTCAGCACCCTAGCGACACGCGGCAGGCGGTTGAAGCCGTGCACTCACCATGCGACTGCTAAGAACACCGTCGCTTTGTTGCCACACGCAAGCCAGACGAACACCTCATCACGTTGTTGTTGACCAAGTCTGATCTTGCCTCGCCATGCCCTGCCGACACTGAGCGAGAGGCGTCGCGATACCCCTTATTGACCTGATGTACATTATCACGTGTTTCGCTCACGAGTCGACTGTACCTCAACCGAGCCATCTGTGAAGACACTCGAGAGGCGTCCTATTGCACCACACCCCCCATTTGGCGGCAGGGAGAAGGTCCCGCCAAAACCCCACCCCTATCGAACGAACCAGACAAGACAAAAGAGAAAGCGAAGCGACTGGAACACGGGAACGACTCTAGATGGCATGCGCCCCTTCCCCCGCGTGAGCCAACGTGTCGAACGCGTTTGTTTGTTCTAGTAGGAGTAAAGACGCACGGTGCTCTGCCTCGAAAACAGGAAAGGATCAAGTGCACGCGAAACCAATGACAAGCTACTTCGTAGATTGCAAAAGACAGGGACACAGCACTGGGGGGCGGGGGGTCCACCGACCGCGCCCGCTTCCCCTGAGGCCTCGCGCTAGTTTAGCGACATTTTATTCGTTGCCGCTGTGTACGAAAAAAAAAACTTCCTTCATGGAGGAAGCGGGCAAGTCTTCTACCGTACGCATCAAAACCACACACACTTCTCAGAAGGCATCGGGCGGAGAGAGACATGGGAGACCTGAACCCAGGACGGAAAGCGCTGACCTAGACAAAAAACGTTCACCATCCACGAAATGCTCGCTCTATTGAAATAAAAAAAGAAACAGAGACACAGCCAAGGCTCCTCGACGCAGCAGCACATCTACAGCAGAACTTCGAGCCTCCTCGATCCGTCAGGGAATCACGTCAGATCAGGGGAAGCACATCGAGTGCGGTCTCTCATCTACATACAACTGTAGCCCATCATTTCGTGAAGAAACCAGTCGCTTCTGCGAAGGGGTTCAGGTAGCAAATTAGGCAGTTCCTCAGCCCGAAACCGGGAAAATTCTTCTCGTCCGACCAGAGCGCTTCTCCACGCAAGACGCTCTCGACCAATCAGCATCGCTGTCCTGATTTTTTTTTGCCCAATCAGAAGGCGAAGCTGGGCTTTCCGGAGTTGCTCCTCTTGACTTTCCTGTCAAGACGCGGACAAGGGGATTGCCAACCAAGACAGAAAAGGACGGCAGTTCATGATGCTGGCATTTACAACCGCAATTTTCGGCAACAACAGCATCATCATCACCACCGGCACAATAGCAAAATAGCAACCCCACGACAACGACAACGACGGCGAAGTGACAAACAACAGCAACAACAACAACGACATCATCACCCACGGACAACATCAACCATTACAAAGACAACAACCACCACATCATGAGCAATGAAAACGACGACGACAATGAGGACGGCGACGACAAAATGACAAACGACAACCACACCAACACCAACACCAACACCAACATCATCATAAATAACCATAACAACAACAAAAACAACAACAACAACAACGACGACGAGCAAAATTAACACCGACGTCGGCGGCAACGACGAAAAAACAACGAACGAGCGAAACGTCAAACACCGCGACACAGACCGGGGACGCTACGGTTAACTTCTGCAGGATAGCTATCTCCGGGTATTGTGAGTCGGCCCCCTCCCGCTTGTTCTTCCTGAGGAATTGCATTTACTAGGACTACTATGGATACCGCACTTACGAACCTCAAATATTGGCCGAGCTTGGCTCCTTTGTTCCTCTCGGGGGCCGAAAATGCCCGCTATATAGGTGTTAGTGTAGGAATTGCCATTATGTAGGTTTCAGTCTAAGGGTTCTTAACCGGGTTCACAAATACTGCACAAGTTCTAACTGGTCAAGGCTACATCAATTTCTTCTTTAGCTGCCCAGCGTCTCAAGTACGTGCGCTACCTGCAAGTGACTGGCACAAAGTTCGTGAGCATGGTTCGGATGGATCGGTCTCCTTTTTCTTGATACAGCAGTAGCGACTCCGATACAAGAGGGTACCTCATAAGAGGGGGTTCAGATAAAATAGGGCCGAATCGGTTGTCACGGACTCGACCAGCTACAGCAAAGTCGGGTACCCTCTGGACAAGGGGAGGCTCCCAAATAAGAGGGTCGACGGCCTTGGTCACACCACCCTCATATATCGGAGCCACGATTGCTGTATGCAAATGAAGCCATGAAGATGCAAGATGCATGAAGTAGCATGTACTAGAATTTTACTGAAATGACTGACATGAAGTTCACGAGCATTGTCCCGGACGGGTCGGTGGCCAGAACGTGCAGCTCCTCCTGTGTGGTGGGGATCCTCTCCTTCCTCTTCCGCCTCGTCGACAGCCAGCCGTGCATGGCCTTCAGCTCTCGGTAAGCGGCGAGGGCTTTGTTCACGTCTTCCGTCGTCTGCAGTCGTGTGCACAGAACGGTGTTTATTGTCNCCCTTCCGCCGACGGCCCCTTTCCAACTTCATCGCCCTCTCGGCTACCACTTAGAACGCGAGGCGCTACCTAATCCCTGGGGGGGGGGGGGGGGGGGGGGGTACTCTCGTGTTTTGCATGCCTCAGCGTTTACACCATTGACCACGTTTCGTCGAGAGGACGGAGAATTGCTCTCGCGAGACCGATCACCGATGGCCAATCGCTCCTTCCTTCGTTATCCCGGGGGGGAGTGAACGGCCGTCACAAGTACTGTTGTGCGCTATTCAGGCGGCGGCGGGAGCTAGCCGCTTTCCCAAGTCTCCACGTCGCCTTCTATCGCGCTGACAGACCACGGGTCGTCGAGCGAAGGGGTGGACGTTCAAAAAACAGCCAAAAAAGTCTAGGCACAACGCCGATAGATAGGTGGGATCGGAGCTGGGTTAGATGTGGCAGAAGCAGGAACACGCGAGGGCAAACAACTGGAATTGAGACAGCAGAGCACAGCTCAAACGTATATCAAATATTCAATACACCTCGTATCAATATATCAACGTATGATCCACTTACTCCTAACGGGACGATTTATCTACTCATCCATCCATCCCGAAAGAATCGAGCAAAAGAGTGAGGCTCACCACTCCGGCTCGGGCGGCGATGCGCTGGCGGTGTCCGTGCCGGATGGACTCTGGGTTTTTTCTCTGCAGGGGCGTGAGCCCTTCCAGGACCTTCTTCTGCATCTTCATGGCCTGCAGCTCCTCTCGTCCCTTGTTCCACGGAAGCTTCGCCGAAAACTTGTCGAGCGGCTCCTGCGACGCATACATACGCGGACCATAGACGTTTCGTTACTGCTAGGAACATGCACGGGCCGTAGACTTCCGAATATTTCTAGTTTTTCAAATGCTAGTAGTACGAGCGGTGCCTGCGATACGTGGACGGTAGGTAGATGCTGTAACGTCAGTTGTTTTCCAGTGGTAAGCCCCTAGATGTTGTGTACATTCCAGGATTTTTTAGCCGGGTCAGAAACCTCACTTTGAAATTGGGGAAATTCTAGATACTTGGTGAATTTGAAATCAAAGTTCTCCGTGTTTAACACCGGACGAAACGTGATGAAATATTTTCTCCATCGTTTTCTGGGGCAGTAGCCTTCGCAGGGATTTTGTATCAAGTAAACACGGTGGATACAGCATACAATCGGGGAAGTTAGGTCAGGGCTAGGGTGAGGGATACCGTCTACGTACCCCCTCACTGTTGTATTTCCTCATTCCCCCTCCCTGTCATATTTCCTCATAAACTTAATTTATCGCGAAGGCGGTCCTTCCGGGGAGGCTGGGCTGAAAAAATCTTGTCCCGTAGCGTTTTGCCATAGTTCTTATTTCGCTGTTTATTCTTCATGCTCTGTTTCTCGTTGTTGTTCTCACAGGAAAAAAACCAAGCTATCCACCACAAAACGTTACCGACTGGGGCCTACAAAAAAAGCGAACATAACAAAATTGAAGAAAAGCAGCCAAAAACGACAAGAAAAAAAAAAAAGCGAACAACAGCACGACAACAATCACGAGAAAAACTCCTGTAAAACGCGTCTTGGCTGAGACATCTTTGAGCCGTCTGTGCCAATGAAAATGAACAGATTATTCTGGTTTTGTGTGTTTTGTTCAAGGGCTTGTCTGCTCGCATCTCGCCAGGGAAGGATATTTATTGCCTGTTGTAGGTCTACATGGCATCCGCACCACCCCGTTGGTCTCTAGGAATAATAACAAGCGGAGGGACAAGACTACAAAAATATTGTGAACGATACATGGTGGCAGAACAAAATTAAACGTCGGCGAGGATACATGCAAAGAAAAAGGCACCTCAATGATCTTGGCGAAGTCATCCAGGTCGAAGCTCTCCTTCAAGGACAGCTCCTTCATCTGTTCCTTGAACTGCTTCTCTGCGAGTGTGGAAGCGTTCCAGAGTGGCAGGCAGGCCGTGCAGGAGCGGGTTCGCAAAGCGATTGAAAGACAGGAGAGATATGATAGTAGAGAAAAGATGGAGAGAGGATGAAAGGGAGAGAGGGGGAGAGGGGGGGGGGGG